ATATTATATCTTTAAATTAATTATCTAAAGATATATTTCGATTAATTTAAAAATAGAATAGTTATAATTTCTTATTAGTTATTTAAATTCGAGATATTTAAATTTCTTATAAATATTTTAATTAAGTCTATTTATTATAATTTAAATCTTAAAAATATATAAAGAAATTATATAATACTATAAAGATATTATATTCTCAAATTTTTTAAAGATTATTTAAATAATTTATTTATTTAGATAGTATTTATTTATTATTAAAAGTTCGAGAGTAATAAGACTATATAGGCTTTTATATTAATAAAAATTATAAAATATAAAAAAGAGATATTAAAGACTTAAAGTATCTTATTTAAATAAATTTAATATACTCGAAAAATAGATAATACTTAAATAATCTTATAAGCTTTAATAAAGTTAAATTTAAAAGAGTTTATCGCTTTATTTTAATATCGAAAAGAAAGTAATAAAATATAGATAAAAGATCTTTATAATAAAGTAAAACGATTTTAACGATATTAAGAAATATAATTAATTTAAAATAATAATAATAATAATAAAGAAAATAAAGACTCTTAGTTATATAGATAGCTAATATAAATATTTATAAATATAATAAAATTATTTATAAATATAATAGAAAGATTTAAAATTATTATTATTATTACTATAATAATTTCGAAATAAAAGAAATAACTCTAAAATTTTAAATTAAAAAATAAAGTTCGTTTTAAAAATTTCGAATTTTCGTATAAAATTTAGTACTTTATAAAGATCTTAAAAATTTTAAAGTATTTTTAAAATTATTTTAAGTTAATTATAAAACTATCGCGAAAATTTTAAATTATTTTTTAAAATTTTAAATATTTCGAGTTAATTATAATAGAATTATCTTAAAAATTTTAAATTATTTATAAATTTATTATAAATCTTTTATATATAATAAAAATATATTAAATAACTAAATTATTAAATTTATTTAAAAAAAAATTATAATATTTATATATTATAAATATTATTAAAAATATAATATTTTATATAATAAATTAGAGTATTTTATATAATAAAGAAAAAAACGGGTTAAAATATAAAAAATAAATAAAAAAGTTAAATAAATTTTATAGTTTCTTTATATATATTAAAATATAAAAAAATAATAAAAAAAAAATAAAAAAAATAAAAAAAATAAGTAAGTATATTAATAAAGAAAAGAATTATTATTTAATATATATTTAATATATATAGAATAGTTATTAATATCTACTTCTAGAGAATTTAAATTCTTTTTTAACTTAAAATTATTATTCGAAATTATTATTAAAATTATTTTAAAAAATTTTTTTTAAAATTTTTTTTTTTATTTTTTTTTTGAAATTATTATTTAAAATTATCGTTTAAAATTATTATTTAAAATTATTATTCGAAATTATCGAAATTATAGCTATAATAATTTTAAGTTACTTAAATTTTTATTAAGAATAATTATTTTAAATAATTATTAGACGACTTTAAATTTAAGTTTATTATATTTATTAATTAAATTTATATATATAAAGAATATATTTAATATAAGTTAATAATTATCTCTTTAATAATAATAATTATTCTTAAAACTCGAATTTTTCGCTATAGTAAAAATTCGCGAAAAATTCGCGTTTTATATTTTTATAATTTCTCTTAAAATAATATTTATATATTAATATCTATTAATATTTTAATTATTTTTAATAAAAATCTTAAATAATATTATTATATTTATTAAAAATAAATAATTAATTAAGCTAGTTATAAATATAACGCTATTAAAATATTCTTATATTTATAAAGCGAAAATATCGAATTTCGATTATTCTAATTATTTGAAAGTTGTTGTTTTTTTTTTTTTTTTTTTTTTTTTTTTTAAATTTTTTTTTTATTTTTTTTTAAAGTTTTTTTTTTTTTTAATTTATTTATTTTTTGGGGGGGGGGGGAAAATTTTTAATTTTTTTTTTTTTTAGTAGTAGAATTGGGTTCGCGCTTTTATTATAATTGCGAAATTTTCGCGTAAGATTTAAATAACTTATAAATATTAAATATTAAATATTTAATAATAATACTTTATAAAGATCTCGAAAATTTCGAAGTATTTTTAAGATTATTTTAAGTTAATTATAGAACTATCGCGAAAATTTCGAATTATCTTTTAAAGTCTCGAAAATTTCGAGTTAATAATAATAGAATTATCGCGAAAATTTCGAATTATCTTTTAAAGTCTTAAAATTTTCAAAATTTTTAAATTAATAATAATATTTTTAAAAATATTTTAAGTTAATTATAGAATTATCGCGAAAATTTTAAAGTATTTTTAAAATTATTTTAAGTGAATTATAGAACTATAACGAAAATTTCGAATTATCTTTTAAAGTCTCGAAAATTTCGAGTTAATAATAATAGAATTATCGCGAAAATTTCGAATTATCTTTTAAAGTCTTAAAATTTTCAAAAATTTTAAATTAATAATAATATTTTTAAAATTATTTTAAGTTAATTATAGAATTATCGCGAAAATTTCGAATTATCTTTTAAAGTCTCGAAATTTTCGAAGTTTTTAAATTAATAATAATATTTTTAAAATTATTTTAAATTAATTATAGAACTATCTCGAAAATTTCGAAGTATTTTTAAAATTAATTTAAGTTAATTATAGAACTATCGCGAAAATTTCGAATTATCTTTTAAAGTCTCGAAATTTTCGAAGTTTTTAAATTAATTATAGAACTATCTCGAAAATTTCGAAGTATTTTTAAAATTAATTTAAGTTAATTATAAAACTATCTCGAAAATTTCGAATTATCTCTTAAAGTCTTAAAATTTTCAAAATTTTTAAATTAATAATAGAATTATTTCGAAAATTTTAAGATAATTATAGAGTTATAATAAAGATTTTAAAATATTTATAAATTTCGAAAATTTCGAGTTTTTATAGAAAAATCTCGAATTTTTCGAATTATTTATAAATTTATTATAGAAAAAATTATATATAATATAAATATATTAAATAACTAAGTTATTAAATTTATTTAAAAAAATAATATTTATAATATTTATAAATTATAGATATTTTTAAAAATAGAATATTTTATATAATAAATTATAGTATTTTATATAATAAAGAAAAAAAGCTTTAGAATATAAAATAAGAATAAAAAAGTAGATTTAATTTTATAGTATCTTTATATATATTAAAATAAAAGAAAATAATAAATAAATAAAAATAAAAAATAAATAAAAATAAGTAAGTATATTAATAAAGAAAAGAATTCTTATTTTATATATATACTAATATATAGAATAGTTATTAATATTTACTTCTAGAGAATTTAATTTTTTTATCTCGAAATTATCGTTCGAAATTATCGTTTAGAATTATCATTTAAAATTATCGTTCGAAATTATCGTTTAAAATTATTATTCGAAATTATTATTCGAAATTATCGAAATTATAGCTACGATAATTTCGAATAAAATATCTAAAAAAAATCGAAAATTTCGAGTCGCTTAAATTTTTGCTAAGGGTAACCGTCCGAGACGGTTATCAGATCACTTTGAATTTGAGTTTATCGTATTCACCAGCCAAATTTGTATGTGTGAAGAATATATTCAATATGAGTTGGTAACCGTCCCCTTGGTGGTGGTAACCGTCCTCAAAACTCGAATTTTTCGCTATAATAAATATTCTCGAAAAATTCGCGGCGCTTCGCGTTTTTATAAATTGTTAGTAGTACCCCTACGGGGGTTCATATTTAGGTTCAAATAGGGGTGTCTGGCTTCGGGGCTCGATGACGAGCCCTCTAGAGGGGAAGGCATTGCTAGCAGTGTCCCTACGGGGGTGCTGTTATGATATTCTTCTATTTGTAAAGCGAAAATATCGAATTTCGATATTTGATGATAGGGGGTAGGGCTTAGGGTCGGGCTTAGGGTGGGTCACCGTCCAGCCGCGCCTGGACGGTTACCAGACCCCGTTGAAGGCCACAATCCATAATTGCTCAGGGCTGCCGCTTTTAGCGCGTGAGCTAAGTGATCGATGCGACTCGCTCAGTTCTATGAACATTCGCATTGTGTGGCCATTTATTTACCTATGTGACACACGAAACGGGCATTTTTCCCCCTCCTGGCCTTCCTAAAGTTCAGTATATGCTTAGGGTTAATGTAGTTCTGCGACCACGTATTTCAGTCATCAGCCCCAGGGTCTTGCATGGAAATACTATGCAACCTTGGCGCCGAGAGCAATTTTCTGACAGCGGACATATCCCGGCTCCACAACCTGAACCTCAAGCAAAACGTCTTTGGGATCGTGGTATATGTGGGTAATCTACAGAGATTAACACCCAACGTGAATAGATACAAATTTTGCGCTTTCCAAATACCTAAATGAGCAGACTTCTTTCCTTTCTACCGATTCTACTCTTTCGATTGTTGGACGTTACTTTGGTCTTTGCGGCTTATACAGTCTTTAGAGAGCTGCAAGCAAAGCAGCAAGGAATCGACCCTAAAAGCGATTAGGATGATTTTCTAGACACGTTATCATATCCCTGCTTCAAAAGAAAAGTTGAAAATCTAAGCTGATTGGCTGAGAAAAAAAGGGTCTTAGAAGGGACCCTTAGAAGACAGGAGTATCAAGATATTATTATATACATTGCTACCATATTATTAGGTCAATGGCTTTCACTTACTTACAACTAATGTCGATATTCCATTGCCAGCCAGCTTTATCTGATGCCTACATGCGTCCTACCACTCGATATCTGAGCATGACTGGCGAGGTCGCCGCAACAATGGCAGTAGAGTAAGTCATCGGCTAAGCGGCAAAACAGGCTCGTACAACGTTTGAGAGCAATTCACGTAAGACAGAGATGTTTGGAAAGTCAGGTAAGCTACCATGTCATTCATCCATGCTTCAAATGCGCGCCAGGAGGCACAATTGAACCTTAAATAGGGCCCGCCAACGGATATATAGTCTCATAATGCAGTTGTACGTAGACAATTGAACCTCTTGCCAGACGTTTCTTGCTAATTTACGCAGCTGATCAATCTCATATTCGGCGGAAACTGGCGTATATGTAGCCCAGCAAACATCCCCTTTGACAATAAGCATTACGGGTTTTGGGTATTTGAATGAGCAATTCAGACGCTTTGGAACCTTCAATGACAGCTTCGAAGAGATTGCGGACGTTGGACGCCTAGCAATCTGCATGGGTGCAATGGTCTACATTCAGGAGAACCAAAAGTGTCTTCCATCCTCTATGTCCGAAGAAGACGAACTGGAACGGCCGGATAGGGATCTCATCGCAGAAAATATGAAACTAGACCCAAGGGACAGACCAATGGCAAGGAAGCATTTACAAGATGTGTGGTTCCGGTCATGAAGCTGCTGAAGCAATTGGCATGAACAAACTCCCTGGACCTTCTTTCGTGATGGAATTTTGAGCCTGACGGTAAAGATGTGGGTCGACTTGTGACTTGCTCATTGCCATCGCGGCAGCAATCTTCTTTCGAGTAATTCTGTTGGACCCTTCTTTTGCATCACTCTTTTGAACCTTTCAGTCACGGTCACTAGCTCAACAGACCACACCAATCGTGTGATGCGAGGTTCATTGTCATACATTTCCCCATCCCCGTTGCTCTGATTGCTGACTTGCGGAATCGAGAGACAGATAATGCAGTCTGATGACTGTGACTCGCCCGATGCAAATGACCTCTTTCTCCGTCTAGCTAATTGTGGAATACATGCCACTTCGAATACTGCATGCTTTACAAGATGCATTGGCGCTTATAATATAAGAATGCGGTCTCCAGAGACGCCTGCATGCAAGTGAAGCGCTTATAGACCAGCCTTGGACCAACCTTGATATCTTCGCGGCTCTCCATCAAATTCATTAAACCCTAACTAGCAACATCTCGGGTACAGCAAGAACGATGTGGCCCTCACAGCCCAAGCCGACAGGCTTACTTCTCGCCCTTCTCGCTCTCTTACTCCACGTGCGACTCACCACCGCCTCCTCTCTCTCCGCTCTGACGCTCCCAGCGTTGAACAACACACCCAGCGATGCAAACCTCACAGCCAACATGAACGCATTAAACCGAGTCACCTGTCTCCCCCACCCCGACCTCGCACCTTTCACCGACTTCTCCGACTGCATTCCATCCCTCTTCCGCCTCTACAGCACTCCTCTCATCCACACGGTGATCATCTGGGATCCTGGCGACTTCAGACAGTGGGGTCCCGAGACTGATGAAGGAGGCTGTTATATACTGGTCGATGGGGGGTTACGGGGAGATGTTTTTGCGGTGGAAGATTTGTTGGGACCGGCGATACGGGTGCTGAGCAAGTGCTTTTTGGGGAGTGTGGAAGGGAGGAATGTTTTGGGGAAGGTAAGGGTGGGGCTGGGGAAGGATTGGTGGTTGAGTGTCGTTTTGCAGGCCACGCGGGTGGGGGTAAACGGTACTGTTTCGTATGGGGGGGGTGGAAAGCGTAGAGATTACTGAGGTGGTCAAAGGGGAAAGAGGGGGAAAAAAGGTGGGGGGGCCGGGGTTCGTTCCCATTCAACGGCAAACAAGACCCCAGCGCTGACTGATACGCTTGAAAAGAACTTTGCCACAATGGTGTCGCTGCACGCAACGTGCCAGACACACTTTGGCATGCTTGATCAGCGAGGAGAGTGTGAGAAGTCGACCATTTACAATCTTTCTCATCACAAGAGAATGCAGCAAACGTCACGCACAGAGGTTTTAAATTTTACGCATATTTTGGTAGATCTCGATCAAAACGAACCGAATTATCCTGTCAAAGGATCTAAACAGCAATGATTTTCGGGGAATGTATATGAAAAGTGTCACTTTTCGCTGGCATTGCGCCTGAACTGTACAACTTCTACAACTTCACCTTTGCAGGTAAAAAGACGGTCTTCAGAAAAAGAACTACAACAACTGTTTTTCATTTTCCGGCAGCTGTAGGACTTCTACAATCTTGTTGACCGTCTTCGCCCTCTATGTATGACTTTTGCTCGATCCTCTTACTCAGATATTCGCAACAGATCAGATGGTTTGAAACATTGGTTTAAACCCCCCAAAACCTAGACCTTCCAGGACGGACGGTCCACCGGACGTGTCCGTCCCAACGGTCCAGAAGGCGGGTCCCCCCCATCGGAAGCCTCGCCCCCGCCAGTTTCCCTCCCCTCCTCATCCGCAACCGCGACCGCCTCCTGCGCGATCCTCTTCGCCTCCCGATCCAACAGCCCCTTCACCCACCAATAATCCCGCAGCTGCCCAAAACCAATCCCATCAGCACCAGCTCCTCTCCCGTCTCGCACCGGACGACCGACGACGACCGCCGAGCTCGGGGAAGCGAAAAGATCCGCAACGGGGGCAGGGGACTCACCCAAGCGCCGCACTCCTCCCTCCGCCACCGCGGGTGCTTACACATCAGGGCCTGGAATTGCTCGAGCAGATGCCCGCCCGCGCCGTCGCGCGGCTGCTCCGGGGGGAAACGGCGCTTGTCGGCGAAGAAGCTGTCCAGGTAGAAATCCGTGCCGAGTTCTCTGTTGAGGTATTCGTGGCCGTCGTCGCCGGTGCCGGCGCCGCCGCGGCGGCAGTCGTGCATGCGCAGGGCGAGCCGGATGGTGAGGGATGCGCTGGGGGGGACGGGGGGTGGGGAGTAGGGCGGGGGGGGAAGATTGGGGGGTTGAGGCGGTCATTTTTGGGGGGGAGTTTCTTTTGAGGGTATTGGCGGATGGGTTTTGAGGATGCGTAGGTGGATGACGGAAGGAGTGGAGATCAGGGAAGAGGACCTTTGTAAATGGGGGTTCTCGACATTGCGTGTTTGTGCGCCTGAAGCAAACAGAATCTGTTTATGCAAGATCTGCTTGGGCAGAGACAGCTGGCTGGTACAGCGCAACGCTTGCTGCGGATGAGGAACCGTGTTGCCACCTACTCGAAGTCGACTGCGGTCGCTTGATCTGATTTCTGCTTGTCAGGTCATCAAGTCTCTAGTACATCAAACGCCATCTCACTCCTATCGCTCCATACGAATATTGCCCTTCATCTTCTCGCTCCTCACACAGCCAAGCCCCTCTCCCTTCCTCACAATCTCCCCAATCCGTTCCTGTCTTCGCTCCTCCACAACCCTCGCCGCGTCCTCCGCTCTCTCCTCCGGGCTCTTCGCCACCTCCCCCACGATCCTCTCCGCCTCTTCATCCAACAAGCCTTTTAACCACCAATAATCGCGCAGCTGCACCCAAAGCCGAAGCCGATCGTCAGCCTTCGATCCACAAAGCAGGATGCTTCACATAGAGTACAACCAGGACGAACTCACCCAAGCAGCACACTCCTCCCCTACTCCACCCCTTCTCCCCCATCACATACTCAAAATCTTTCAAGTCCCTGCTGCGTTCTTCACTTGGACCTCCTAAAGGGAAGACCTCATCGTCCCAGCAGAAGTCTCGCAAGGTTCTCACGACGTCTGATGGACCGAAGATGTATTCGAAAAAATCGTTGTCTGTGGGAACGACGCCGCGCCGGGAGTCATGGAGGCGGCAGGTGATGGTGATGAGAAGGATTTGATCGGGGCCGATTGCGGACGAGAATTTAGACGGTGCCAGGAGGCTATCGGTACTTGCAGGAGTGTTTGTCATGGCGAGTGAGTCTTTGCTGTAGAATATTGTGATGGGTTTGATGAAAGTAGAGGTATGGTGTTTGACTGATTCACAGACAAGAGCCTCTCAAACACGTTGTGTGATGCATGTAAAAGTGACGAAACAGAAATGATATTCACACACTAGTCAACGCGAAGCTGATGCTACGATTGGTAAGCTTTGTTGCCACCGCGTTGTGTAAGGTGATTTTACCACTTAGTTGATCCTGAGATGCTTCTCATCCATACACCTGAACTACTCCTTTGACAATCTGATGAAGGCGAGATCCAAAAGTTCATCAGGATCGACATCTCACCTTGCAGACGTTCATGCACAGGCCCCCTCGTACCTAGAGACTAAGGCCAAATACTCTACACACGCACACCGGCCCACAGCGGCTACCGAAAGTACCTTTTGAATCGAATTTTGTGTTTTCATCTCGGGTACCGGTGTCAGCGAGAGCATCGTCGGGCATGACAGACGATCCATGCTCGAGATCAAAAGCGCAATGAAAGACTAGATACAACCCGGCCAAAAAGGTAGTAGTCCTCTTATGCTGAAGCATCTACTAGAAGTTGTGGAAGCTAGTGGCGAATATCGATAATTCATTCGCTCGAGACCAGACATGCATGCTGTTTGCTGTCCGTACCATGCCCCGTAAAGAGATCAAGTTCCTGGAGCCGGTGTTCAAGACTACTGTTGCCGTGCCCACCCCACTGCAAACAGAACCACTCCCACGGAAGCTACAATTAGGCCCAAGTTCCTCAAAACATTCAACAGACTCCTGTTCTGAAATTCCTTCGATCTTTCCGCCAAGGCACCCCTTTCGTTCAACCTTGGAAACGGAGCGTTGGGCTGCTCCTTTCCCAAAAACGCACAAAGCGGACCCCAGCCCTCCTTCAGATCGAATTCCAGCAACCTCTCCTTAGGAAAAATGCCTTCTCATTGTCACATGCCGTCGAGAACGTCATCTAGGCAATGACTCGTTCTGCAAAAAGCGACTTTCATCGTACAAAGTCCGGAGGTAGTTGAATTCTTTCGCTGGTCTCCATTTCTTGTACAGCTTTCGTGAATACTTATAGTCGAGCAGCGAGTGTGGAGCATTCTAGATCGTCAGCACTAACGGGTACATTACAGATACATACCCCAAAACCTTGAATACTTACAAAGGCATACCCCGAACTCTTCTATTATTCATACCCCAATGATATATGAATCGGTATTTTGCCATCTATACGGGTATGAGTTTGTAATTTACCCCAGCACTAACTGTTTGATGGCGCAAAAGTCTTGGCGCGGATCACGTGATCTTTGCGTTCGTGCACATGCTCGGGAACCTAATCACCAGAGGAGTCGAAATATGCCAAAGAACCTTGAAGGACAGAGACGGACCGTAATCTTCACTTGACGTATATTTGATTCCAAAGGTCAACCAAAACGCAGGGATCAGCATATTCGAGACATCTAGAAGCCTCGTTCTGGCTTAACCGGAGCACCGCGATGACCGACCCCAATATTCAGGGTGAATTCGAATGAGAACTGCTCCTGGTGCAATCCGATCCCTCTGCCCCACATAGAGTTCGCTGCATCATGAGGGTCCCTTCTCTCGACGATGAGCCAGCTTTCAAGGCCTCATGATACTGCATGGGCTAATTACCGAATCATACCCCGAAACTATGAATCCTTACCGAATCGGGCTAATTACCGAATCATACCCCGAAACTATGAATCCTTACCGAATCATACCCTAATTACTGAATCATACCCCTACACCAAAATTTGGGGTATGATTCGGTAAGGATAATGCTGGGTATGATTCGGTATTTACAAAATTGCCATAGTGGTAAGAGTGTAATCCAGATATCTATATCTGTGTAGGTTATTGGGAGTGAAGAGTGTATGTGAGAGTCACAGACTGGGTGTAGACAGGCTGAGGGGTCAAATTTAGCCCACTGTTAGCAGCAGCCCCCACGGGGGCTCTGCGACGGCGCTACAAGGGGGCCCTATTTAGTCCAAATAGGGGTGTCTGGCTGTCAAGCCAGACACCCCGAGACCATCAACTCAGCTAAAAAAGTCTCGGGGGTGTCAGACACCCCATTTGGAACCTAAATAGAGCGATGCAAAGAACCCCGTGGGCGCGCTAACACCCATTCGGCTTTCGTCTGATGTATCTAAGCTGGTAGGTCACCCATTAAATACGGTCGGAGATATTTCCTTTTTCTATGGTCGGATGGCCCAGGTCGCGAATTTTCTCCTTTGCGAATTTGATCATGAATGACAGATCACCGAATCATACCCCAAGTAATGGAAACTACTGAATCATACCCCTAGGGTATGATTCAGTAATTAGGTATGATTCGGAAGGATTCATAGTTTCGGGGTATGAATTAGTAATTAGCCCGATACTGCATACTGGTCTCATGATAAGAGGAGACTCAACTACTCGGGAGTCTCGCCCCGTGGAGAAAAGGTTTCCGACCTTCTATTAGAAAGTACAAAACTTCCAACGTTCTGGGGAATTGAGAAGCGGGGATCACGGATCCTGGATTTGCGCAAAGGAAAGGGACTTTGATATGCAGCTAATAAGCGAGCCCAATCAGAAATTATCCCTAGGCGCTGCGGCCGCCTTCGAAACCCTAGGCGCGGTAAACAGTTCTCTGTCAGTGGTGCGCACAAAGGACTACAATAGTAGCGGCATATGTGAGGTTCGAAGGATGAACCGTGGTCAAATTTGGTCTCTGTCCGTGATATAGTCTCGGCCCAACGTTCGCTATTACTTGTACTACCTTTCTCACAGAGGGGGTAGTGTGCAGAAACGAACATCGACCCACAGCAATCCTTGTTGTCCGCTCCTTGAAATAGAACTTGATGAGGGGAACATGTAGCCTTTGCTGTTTTCCCAGCCGAAGTGCTTACACTACCGATTGCAAGCGCTGACGGACATATCTAGTGTCTCAATGTTGGAATGTAACTAGTCTTTATTTTGAGGTTTCGGATATTCATAAGAAGAGCATGGTCGGGACCTGCTTCGATTGTCAAGCCCCCAGATGCATACAAGAAGGTGAAAGGTACAGACTACAGAGACGGCTTCTTTGTTATTCCTCCCCTCCGCCAAGGCTGTCCGTGCGTCCTTTTTCTTGCAACATTCACCGCTTATATTCTCCTACATACCACTTGACTGTATCCGCTTTTCAACTTCCTCGAATGAGAGCTCTGCGACCGCCAATTGCATTACTGCTTGGAACATACATATATAAACATCAACACCCTCCCTCGCCAAGATGATTCCCTCTCACATCTCCTTCCGCGCCACCCTCCTAACGTTCTTCCTCGCCTTAACCGACTCCGCCCAAGCCCATCCCTCCAAACCAGACACTTCACCAAACGAAATCCGAGCCACATCACCCAACCTCTCAGCCTACAGACCCGTCCTAACAGACGGTACGTTCCTTCCAGCCCCATCCTCCCACACCAACCCTAACAACCTCAGGCACGGCGTCCCTCCCCTCCCCAACCGGAACCCTCAAATCCATAACCCTGGGCCGCGGGACCCAAAACTACACCTGCGCCTCCAGCGCGAGCACCCCCATCTCCGACGGCGCCACCGCAGCCCTCTTCAACGTCGCCCAGCTCCTCCCCACCCTAAGCATCAGCCAAGGCCAAGCGGTCCTCAACAGCCTTCCAAACGCTCTGGTCGGCGACACCGTCGCCCAAATCGCGCAGTCCGGCCTCCCCGTCATAGGCGAACACCACTTCACCGCCGCCGGCGTGCCGACCTGGGACCTGTTCGGCGAGGGGCTACTGCTGTACGGGTCCGGCGTGGGCGACATAGCGGCACCGGCTGGGGCGAATGCGGGACCGCAGGGCTACGGGGCTGTGGATTGGAAGGCGCTGACGGGTGCGGCGGGGAGTGTGGGGTTGACGGAGGTGTATCGGGTTGAGACGGCGGGAGGGAAGGCGCCGACGAGCTGCAGTGGCTCGGGCGCGACGATCGAGGTTCAGTATGCGGCCATGTATTGGTTTTATGAGTGATGGGTGCGTGAACGATTGTGTTGGATAGCCGGGTCGCCATTCGTGTTCTGTTTGTAAATGACGAGGCGGCGCGATGGATGGCACCGCCCAGGTATCCATCGTACAATACTGCGGATACTCGTTGTACATACAAGCACGCATCCTACTCAGAAATCCTCACGCCTGAGTATGCCGACCCATCGCACACAACAGAAATGCGCAGCGGTAAGTTGCCTCCATCGCATCCCTGCTGCACGAGCGTGCGTTTCCAGCACCGTGCTCATGAGCCCGGGTATCGACTGGCATGACAACTGTGTCAACAGTCCTTGAACGAGATCCACTCAACATCGGAGATGAAAGCCGCGGCTGCTGTTTTGGATGACGGGGCAGCAATTAAACCTGAAGGAATGCCAAAAGTTCAAAGGGTGCTCAGGACAGATGCTGATGTATAGTCTGCGGAGACGGACAGTTTTCAAGATGGTGAATAGTTCGCGGAGAATAAGGAGTTTGGAGATCGGAAGTAAGGACAGGCCGGGGCAGGGCAGGAGATTGCAACTTGTGAGGCAGGAAACTCACTTTCTAGGGTTCTTTACCCATTGCAAGTATTAGAATAGGTATGCCGGATGAATGACGAAAAACACATAAGATTGCAAATCCCGAGTCAAAAGGATAGCATCAACGCCTGGATGGACTGCAAAAGCAACTGTGTAGCCAAGTAGCCAAAACCCTAACACGTAAAGACTGACCTTACGCAGCACTTTTACCAGCCAATGCCAAAATCACACCCCACAATAGACAAATTTAGAAAAGCGCGCAAACCCACCAGACACAACCGAGTAAACAAATACCCACCGAACCGAAACAAAATAGATCGCTTCATCCACCAAACAAGCACCAACACCCCACCCACACAACTCTCAAACCCCCCTCTCAACATCAACCGCCTTCCCTTCCACCGCGCACTCGAGAGCGCCCGTTCCTCCACACACCCACTCCACCCCTCCTCATACGCCTCGCTCGGCAGCTCCTGCAAACCCCGCTCGTTCCGATCGCGCAGCTGTATCCAATCCCGCCTCGATTGGGGCGCCGGGGGTGTTCCGATCCGCCATAGCCCGAGCCGGAGTGTCGCCGTCGCCTTTGTGCGGGGGGGCGATGGAGGCGAGATGGTGGTAGAGGCGGGGCGGAACGACGGGGCAGCTGCGGAGCGGACCGCTGGCGATTTCGGCGATGCGGTCGCACGGTTCGGCCGGAGATGTTTCGATCGCTGGTCGTGAGAGGAATGGAATGGAATGGAGTGGAATGGAACGAAGAGGATTGCGGGAACTCACGCCCAGAGCGCGGCTTGGAATCTCACGTCGGTGTAGTCTTCCGTCCTGGTGAGGGAGGACGTGGAACGCCCAGGCGCAGAAGATGCTCGCGACGCAAGCCCTGCGATACGTCAAACGATCTGACTTGAGAGTGTGTCTGGAAAACGGGACGGGGACTGACAGCGCGCCCGTTGCGAAGATGGGCGGAGACGCCGATCTTGCGCCGCACCGGCATCTGCAGGTTCCGGATCAGATGGATGGGGACGCTCAAGAGCGCGATGTCGGAAATCAGGTTGAAAAACTGGCGGATGCGAGATACAACACGCGTCGACGTCCGGACAGCGTCCCGGCTCTTCGGGTGTCCAGATCTTGGTGCGTGGAGAGCGGGGAAAGATCGGGACGAAGGAGAAGGCGGTATAGGATATCGCGTTCGCGTCGATCAAGCATTGAGTAAGCCAGTAGCCGATGTCACGCTCGACGGAGCAGAAGAGTCGCAGGATGAGGAGCAGGATGGAGCATTTGGTGAAGAAGGGCGATAGACTGTAGATGGGGTCTGAATAATTTGTGTACTGCCTGTGTTACTAGTCGCTTAGAACCTAAGTTTGCGAAGAGCGTTGCGAGACTCACTCTTTTTTGATATTGAACATGCGAGTAGTACAGATTCCACATATGGGTGCCACGACCATGAGTGCCAATACACCATTCGATTGCTAGATAGGCCATGAAAGTTGCCTAGGGCGATTTATGTTAGCTAGTTGTTCTCTACACTTTAAATTTCTGGGTTCACGTGCTCTCCAAAAAGTAATCCACCTGGGGAGAGATAGACAAAGGTAGAGAGAGAGAGAGCCCACCCATCCCAATAAGCAAGTATCTGGCATAGATGAGACAATACTGTCCACACACTAGCTAGCTCTACTTACAGTCTTCCCATTTCAGAGCCCTCACTATTAATTTCCTCGTGTATAAACGCGCGGCCACCATGACTGTAGTCGCAATAACGCTCGCGACTATCGTCAAAGCCTGATTAGGGCCGCAACGTATAAGGGCTAAAGAATTCCGCTGGGACACCAGGCGGGGGCGCTAAGGCCGGCTGGTTTGGGGGAGGGATGGACCGCGATTGAGGCATTTGAATGGGCGGTCGCAAATGATCCGGTACGCGTTGGGACTGCCCTCTTGACTGCGCGAAAAGAAGGCGAGAATAGATTTAGAATAGATCTGGGTCCCGGAACAATCTTATGCTTTTTTGAAGCCTGAGATGCCATGATTCAGTCAACTGGCCTTTGCCGAGATGGTGGGGTGGACAAGAGCTAACAACGACACTCATGTGGTGGAAACGGCTTGAAGAGACTAAATGATTAATGAGAGTAAAGGAGAGGGCGACGGGACGCTGTTTAAGCACACGCCGCAACGTCATATACTAGGGCGGAGATGGAGAGGTGCGGAGAGGGAATACTGATCGAACCATCAGCCCACAGGCAGGTACATAACCTCAATTATCCCATGTCGGTTGATGTCACCAAGGTCGTCGTGGATGCCGGAAGACATAGATCGTCAGGCCAAGGATTGCCCGTTTGGGTTGGCTGGGCCGTGCCGTGCGAAGAGCAAGCGCTCCAATGGGACACCCAACCCACCCTCTCGTGCTCTTAAAACCCTTACCCACTCCTGCCTAATTGCTGCTGTTAGCGACACGAGCAGGGTCGCTTGCCTGAATCGACTATTCGCACAGACTTTTGCAAAAGAACTCAACGTGGCGTTGAAGCGCGGGCCTTGGCTGATGTTCGAACTTACCGCAAGAAAGAACAGTGTTGAATTGTATTCCCCTTCATGCCGAAGAAATCGGCACCAAGAACATGTTGCGCCTATGCTAGGGCCGAACATGCACTTGCACGTTCCCGCACTGCTGTTCACTTGTCAGACAGTCTGTGACAGTGCTCAATCAAGCGAAGAGGTAAGAGGGTTTTGTTTGTCAAGCCTGCGGGTTCCGGAATATCCATAGCTTGAAGGATCGCGGTGCGAATAACCAAAAAGAGCATGGCACTCTGCATAATGTCCTTCGGCTAAATACCTCTCCTATACATCATAGCTTTGATTTCTTACCACCTTTGACTCCAGTCACCACTTCATCACCCAAAAGAAAATCAGGATACTTGAATCCGCCCATGTTGGGCGTCTGTGCTCGCCACGCTGCTCCATCGACTGAGGACCAAACATATCAGCTCATTTCTACATATTTGGAGAAATCGTACATACCAACAAGTGCCTGGCCATTCACGTAATTCCCAGCATCCGAGAATAGAAAGATCGTGGCGTCTGAAATCTCCTTCACAGTGCCCCACCTTCCCAGAGGGATGTTTTTGAAAGAGTTAGCCACGTCGTCCGTCTTTGCCAATCTTTCCATGCCTTCTGTGCCGGCGATAGGGCCGGGTGCGATAACGTTAGACGTCACGCCTCGCGGACCAAACTCGAGAGCGAGGTTGTTGGAAAGTGCGTCAACGCCAGCTTTGGCGACGCTGACATGAGTCTGGAGTGGCATTGCAGTGTAATGAAAGGTGGCGGAGATGAAGATGATGCGGCCGCCTGTTCCTGTTGGAGAGGCTGTTCTGCCGTCGGACTTGTGCTTGCCTGCTGAAGTGACGAGATGGGGCAGCGTCGCCTTGACAGTGTTGTAAGAGCCCAGAACGTCGATGTCCATGACGGATTTGAAGGCGTTTGTGCTGAGCTGGTTGATGGAGGCGAGGAAGTTGCCTGCAGCTCCGGCGCTGGAGGAACTTAGTGCATGCAGACATGGCTTGCTTAATCCATAGACTTACATCACAAAATCGATTCCCCCAAGCTCTTTAACACACTTCTCCACAGCTGTTTGCATACTTTCAATACTCCTGACATCAACAGACCCAAAGCCCAGAACTTTTGCGCCTTGCCTCGCAGTAGCGATATCTGTAGCCATCTTCTCCGTTTTCTCGACATTTCGTCCAATAATGCACGCATTAGCGCCGAGATGGACCATAGCTCTGACCTGGGCGCTACATATGGTGCCAGCGCCACCTGTGCAAAACACGACTTTGTTTTCTGGAGTGAGAACGTAAGCTCAAGCAAGACATGAATTAGGAAAGAGTTATTTGCTACCAAAAATGCCATCTTTCCAGATATCGCTCACGTACTCATGCTTGGGGAGAGGCATCTCGACGTATCGATGGCGACGTGAATCAAGATTGGAGGCTTTCTCAATTGCAAAGCTTAGGTGTCAACGGCAATACATGAGAACGGTCTCCAAGAGGAGGGAGGGCTTGAGGACGAATTATAGGGGCGAGCCTTGAATAAAAGATCGGCTCAATTCCAACTCGCACTCCAAGCCGAGGTTGATTACAAGCTTGATTCTTAAATAAATACTTCAGCCGTTATTAATCTAGAGAACTCTTACCGATGGTCGACGCTTTCTTGGAGATCATACCTAACATTGTGTTGTCGCTGGGCCGAGGCAAACGAGGGGTCCCCAGGTCGCCGCTTGCAGATCCCTGCTGCCGATCCGTAGAGTACTGCCGCTAGAAAGACGGAGCTTCAGGTTTCCCATCTCCACCCTCCATCCAAATCCCTTCCGCCTCCGCTCTGCAACATCCATTCTAAGTACAGCATCGGACAAGATGTCACGCAACACAGCAACCATCTGCAAGTTCATCGGCACCATCTCGCTCGGTCTCCTGACTGTACGCCCCTCCCCTCCATTGCCGCCCGCTCCTTCCTACTCCCACCTTCTCCTCACCCCCCGGCTCAACAGCCCTCGCCTTTCTACCCACAGCTGACATCTTCTCAGGGCGTATCCTACACCACAACAACCACCACCCTCCCACCCATCCAATCCCTTCCCAGCGCCCAACCGGCCTCCACCACATTCCAACACCTGCGCGCTCTAGCCCACCGGCACCAACTCCTCCTCTCCACCCTCTCCTCCACCTCTCTACTCCTCGCCTACGCCCTCTCCCCACCCCGCAGCCGACATCCGTATCTCTTGTGGGCAACCCTGGCCATCGGATTGGGCTACACGAAAGAGATCTATGCGGGTGTGGTTGGAAAGGTGAAGGGCAAGGGCGATGAGAGCAGGGCTAGATCAAGGACGCCGGATAGTAGCGATGAGGAATGGGAGGTCGAGGGTGCTAGCACTGGTAGCCTGAACGGAGAGGCTGTCAGGGAAGGAATGGAGAAGTGGAGGGGGAAGATGGTGGGGCGGACAGTCGTGTGGGGTGTTGGGTGGCTGGTTACAGTGGTTGGACTTTGGGGAGATGGAGTCTAAAAGTGGAAGGACCTGTTGTGCGATGCTCAGACCCGTCCTGACTCGGGTAGGCTTTTGTGACTTCAGGCTGGCCCTTGCGTGAGAAAAGTGGATGGACGATGAAGCAGATGAGAGTGAACGTGGGCTTCAGGGTGGCTGGCTGGCGTTTGTGGTATCTCTACTCGTTTCCAGACTGGAAATAAGTCTTTCATGTTTGAAAGCTCAATAGCAACTTCTGCACCTGCACTCAACTTAGAATTCGTGTCATCTTACACTCATGATGCAGCTTCGCAGGACTCTTGTTCTGGAATTGTTTGGATAAAGGCTGCTAAAGCTTGAGAACGGACTGAAGGTTGAACCTGAAGGGCATGGACCGGAGAGCGATCAATGAGGGTTTTTCAAGAACGGTCTCAAACAACGGCTAATGATTGAGGGACGGTGAAGAGCTCGCAAGGCCTAGTGGTAAGAAACTGCTTGTTCTTTACATCATGTACAGCTTTGGAGCAGAGCTCAATCGTTTATACTGCAGCTGTGAAGCTTCGCGTGGGAAATCTCAGTTCACGCTTGGGTCTGATGGCTTCAGCGACACCAGATTTGTTCAAGCTACCAAGTCTCCTGCTTATACCTTCCTTCCTTCTCCATTGTCTCCATATAGCTCTCGGCGTCTTTCTGATCCATACGGCCGACATCTCTGAAGACATCGGCAAGCGCAGCGCGGACTGCTTGCGGCATCTTGCCCGAAGACCCACATACGTAGACTATTCCCCCACTATCATGAAGGAGGCGGTAGACAGAGTCTGATTGCTGGCGTATGAGATTCTGTACATAGACCTTGTGACCTTGATCACGCGAGAAGGCTGGGTGGACGGTCAATGGCATTCGCCTTTGCAGATCCTGCCATTCATCTTGGTAGAAGTAGTCGGCGGTTTCACTGCGACAGCCGAAGAATAAGAGACTGTGTCCAGTCCCCGCTACACCGTTTGCATGATGATTGGTGTTTTCTTCAACTTCGGTACCTCTTTCCTTTGCCCATTGCAACCTCTCCCAGACCAAAGATCGCATAGGCGCAACACCGGTCCCGGGACCAATCATGATAATTGGCCGCTCCGATTCGGCTTTTGTGATAGCTAAGCCGCCTTGCTGCAGTCCGACACGAAGTTTCGCCCCTACAGGCAAGTAAGCAAGATACCGAGTGCACACACCCTCTCTGATCTTCCTAATCACAGTCTTATACTTGACTATAGCCACCAGAAGCTCAAATCTTGCTGAGCCATCCGGGGTCTTTCTCAGTTGGCCACCACTCGCAATACTGAATTGCCGACCGCGCAGCTCTGGTAGAACATTCGCAGCCCATTGCCAAGGGACCTTGACGGACTCGAACTCTTGAAGTACTTCCAATATGCTACGCCTTGGCCTCGTGGTATAGTCGTATAATTCGTCTATGTACTCTGGCTTTGTGAATTCGAGGAGTCGGTCTTTGTGAAATTGGTTGCCTGTGAAATGGGCTATGAGAGAAAAAAAAGAGCGACGTGGTATGGCTGTGAGGTCGAGGTGCTCAGTCAGAAGTGTTCGAATCGTTGTACATGGTCCTGGTAGAGAGATTGGAGGCGATGGATAAAATACTTCTTCTATGTCAGCTTTGGTGGGAGTAAACTGGATCGGCTTATCTGCGATGTCAGTCCAGTCCAAGCGTTGCAGTAGGCGATCAACATCTTCTGGGAAGTTTTTGGGGAATATGGTGAGGACATCCCCCGGTCCATAGGCGATCGGATGGTTACTGCTGAATTCCAAATGACGTACATCTTGCCAATGTGTGCTAGGAGTGAGGCGTCGATTCTTCTCCAGCGTCACATTCAGATGTTGGGTGGCGGAGATGGCAGCAGATTTCGTCCTAGTGGGTTTCGCTGCTTCGGTCTCGTATTTTGCTTCCGCCGAGCCATCGATAAAGGACGTTCGCTCATCGCCGCCATTGGCCAGCTGCTTTGACGAACCATTGAGTGCGTTCTGACACAGCGCGAGAGTCCACTTTGGATCCAACAAAACGTGCTCCGAGATTGGAATTGTACCTTCCGCTAATGGAAACTTGGTCAGAAGGTGATGGCGAAAGTCATAAGACCAAGGAACGAAGCTTGCATCAAGCCTTCACTGAAAATCAGCCAATACTCTTTGCCATTCAAACAACCGAAGCATTGACCCTTCATCATGCTGTTCATCTGCTTCACCTCGAGGATATACCTCCTTTGCTCCTAATTGAAGAAGTCTCTTGTGAAGTTTTCGAGCCGCCCAGTTGAATCTAGTCAACGGGTCAGCCCCTGCCATGTGAATTCCTCCGTGAATGACCACGAGTACTTAGGATATGAGCTGTCTCCTAAGCCAAATGTTGTCAACTGGACGCCTTCAAGATACGAATATGGCAACTTCCTCCGGAGCAAGCTTTTCCAGAATAGCCTCGCATTAAGGGGTAGATCGCCTTGGCCTGTAGTCGAGATGACTACGATCACGACAGAGTAAGTCCTTAGGGATGACTAGCTTGTATCAGCTTTTGTGTGTGTGTGTTTTCCGCCGTTTCTCAGCTTGCCGTGTCAATTGTGTCCAGTTTAGATACATAGGTCCAGAAATGGATACGCTCAAGCATACGTCCGAGCTCTTCTGCATAGTCATATGCATTACCAGTCTCTGAACCATAAGCGACCAGAGCTGATCTGTTCTGCATTGGACACGCGATTTGCGTTCAACGTAGCCCAATAGAGAAGAAGGGGAAGCAAACACTAGTATTTGCCACCTTATGAAAACGGAATGACCGTCTTGCAAGTGATCTTCCCGGGCAACCAATCGTGATCCAAGCCTGTTACATCTAAAGAGGTGGGATTCATCCACTGGACAAGGCGGTCCTAGGAATAACTCGTCGTTGAGCCCCTTAGATTGCTTTCAAGATTGATCTTGTGTCCTTTGCCACAGTTGTGTAGTCGTGACAATTCACATGCTCAGACTCGCAGTGATGTATAAGGCTCGTGATATTATCTAGGGACGTTTCTTCACTTCGTATAGGAGAATTGTATTAGTGACTCTAAATATAGAAGTGAAGCAGTATCTAAGTACATTAGATAATCTGGTGAATCTGGTTGCAGTGAGATGAGTTGAGGCTTGGCAGTGAAGCTGCATGAAGGGTCCGCACGGGCGTTTTACTTAATCCGGCTTGGTGCTGAGGACTAGCGCGGCTTCCCTACATTTTCTTCTCTTCTGCTGTTCTGTTTGTAAAACCTCCTTCTTTCCTACTTCAAGAACGGTACTTTGTTTACTGACAACAAAAACTTCCTCTTACCTTCTCACACCTTGATTCGGGCACGCTTGAGCTACCCTCATCCTCCTTGTCAAGTCATTTCCTCAAAGGCATTCTCAACCTCGCCTTTCCTCAATCCAAAAAGCCTATCAGCAGCTTCAAGCTCACTACAACTTCTCAACACAAATATGTCTGCCGTTGATAGCATCACCGAGAACATGGCCGCCACCTCTATTGCTCCGATTGCACCAGAAGGAGCAAACAACATCTCCGGTGGCGAGCCCATCAACGCTGCCGAGAACGAGGCAGTCATTGCCGCAGCTGCTGAGGGCCGTCGTCTTTACATCGGAAACCTCGCCTACGCGACCACTGAGGGGGAACTCAAGTCCTTCTTCACCGGCTTCTCAGTGTATGCTCTTTACTCAGACTTTGTCTGTGCCTCAAAATGCTAACACATACATCAAGCGAGACCACGTCCATTCCCACCAATCCTCGTACCACCCGACCAGTTGGTTACGCCTTTGTCGACCTCTCTACTGCAGAAGAAGCACAGAAAGCCATCGCCGAGCTCGCTGGCAAGTTCATCCTCGACCGTAAAGTCTCCGTACAGCTGGCTCGCAAGCCTGAGACCGCCGCCGAGAAGCAGGCCGCGGCTGCTAGTGGTGGAGAGGGCCTTAGTGGTGGGGAGGGCCGTCGTAGGAACTCTGGCCGCGGTCGTGGACGTGGCCGTGCTCGTGGTGGACGTACTGGTCGGGGTGGTCGAAGCGTAAGCCCTGTCTCGATCAAATTTTCCAACACCTTCACGCTAACACAAGGATGTTACTAGCGTCAAGCCAACGCTGGTGAAGATACCAATATCCCAGGCCAGGCCTTGCCCTTAACAGAGACCACCAACGAGGGTGCACCCGCAACCAACGGAGCAGAAGATAAGGCCCGTGCTCCTCGCCAACCCCGTCAACGTGGACCGCCTGAGGATGGAATCCCCTCGAAGAACAAGGTCATGGTGGCCAACCTCCCTTACGACCTTAGCGAGGAGAAGGTAAGCTTTAGTGGGTCCCTAACATCTACAGGATTCATCTAACACAGTGATCATAGCTCAAAGAACTCTTCTCTGCCTATAACCCTACCGCTGCCAAGATCGCTCTTCGACCTATCGCCCGCTACATGGTCAAGAAGCTGCAGGCCCGTAACGAGCCCCGTAAGGGTCGTGGATTTGGTTTCGTCTCTCTAGGATCGGAGGAGCTGCAGCAAAAAGCTGTCAGTGAAATGAACGGCAAGGAGGTGGAAGGCCGCGAGATTGCTGTAAAGGTCGCTATCGACAGCCCTGGCAAGGAGGACGTCGACCCCGAGGCCGCTGGCACGGCTCCTCTCACCGAGAATGGAGTTGTCCAAGCCAATGACCCTCCTGCGACTGAAGCTGCCTAATCTGCCCCGGCACAGAGATGCGTTGCTTCACTGTTTACATCGATCTCACCGTCTTTGTTCACATCGAATGCTCGCAGAAAAATGGAGTGGGAATCTTGGCGGCTCTCTCAGTATCAAAACTCATGCATGCATTTAGAGCGACTGATTTCCTTCTCTGCGAGGTGGTTTAGAAGCTCGATATGGCCGCATTAACGAAGATACTGTTCCTTGTACTACCATTACGAAATGCTTATCGCCCGCCACCACTGTATTCTAGAATTAGATAGTCGATGAGGTGATCCAAGTTCGAAAAGTTTGATATACAACTTGATGCAAATTTGAGCTTCCTCAACCGTATGGTAAAGCATGTGGCAACCCAATATACCTGTCGAGCTCCGTCTTAAGAAAAAAGGGGTCTCTGGAGCTAGCGCGCTTATCGATAACAGATGCGTCCCACTCGTCTGCACTCCATTCCAACGACAACCAATTTGTGAGCCAACAGCGAGCATTGAACCCTCAATTGCCCCGACTATCAATGAAACTTAGGTAACAAACAATCTGCCCACCTATTTGCACATACAAAGTCCAATAAGATGTGGGAAGTCGACCCTGAAACCAAGACCAAGGTGCCCCTTTCTCCTCCTACCAAGTCAATCCCTTCTGACCGATATCCTTGCAGCTCGCAGCCCTGCAAAAACGCCCCGGAAACACAACCTGCATCGACTGTTCCGCCCCATCCCCGCAATGGGCCTCTCCCAAATTCGGCACTTTCATCTGCCTGACATGCGCCGGCCTGCACCGCGGCCTAGGCGTCCACATCTCCTTCGTACGTTCAATACAGATGGACTCTTTCAAGCCTGCCGAAATAAGCCGTATGGAATTGGGCGGCAACAACAACTGGAAGGGATTCTGGGAGAGCAAAAGCGGACAGAAGTGGGGAAAGCCGGGGCAAGGAGGGGACGGGGAGGCGATGCGGTTGGTGGGGGATAGATACGGAGGCGATGAGGGCGAGGAGTATAAAGAGCGATTGGGGTGCAAAGTCGAAGGACGGGAGTTCTCCGGGATGCCGATCAAAGAGCGCAAGAAGATGGAATCCCGCGGCGTGGAAACATCGACCGCGCGCACATCGTCCCCGCTCGCCGGTGCGGGAGCACGGTCACAGAAATCGCAGAATGAGGATTTCTTCGCGAGGAAAGGGAATGAGAATGCCACGAGGTCTGATGGATTGGCGCCGAGTCAAGGCGGGAAGTATGGAGGATTCGGCAGCGAGCCAGCCGTGCCGACTGCGAGACAAGGGAGCGGAGGGGCTTTACCGGGGGTGGACGATTTCCAGAAAGATCCCGTGGCGGCATTGAGCAAGGGGTTTGGATGGTTCACGAGTACGGTGGGGAAGGGGGCGAAGACGGTCAATGACGGCTGGATACAACCTACCGCCCAAAAGGTACGCTTCCCTTCCCACAGCTTACACACCTACCTACCTACCTCGAACCTTGAGCGATCGGACTGATAGTGTGGGGGTGTCCAGATAGCAGAAGCGGACCTCGCGACCACCGCCCGCCTCACCGCCGCCCAAGCGGCCAAGACCATCCAAACGGGCACCAAAGGCGCCGCCGATCGCTTCAACAGCTTTGTGGAGGACACGGGCGCCGGGCCTTTGGGTGCTACGGCTGGGTCGAGAGGGGCGGTCGAGCCGGAACGGAGGGACTTCTGGGATTCGTTTGGGGATGCGGGGGCGGAGAAGAAGAGTTCAAGCGGGGCGATCGGCACGGCGGCGATGAGGAAAGGTGGTGGTGGGAGTGGGGGGAAGGAGGAGGGATGGGGTGATTGGTAGAGGGGATGTTTTGCAGAAAAAGGGGGGTTTGGGTTGCCGGGGTTGAGTATTTGGTAGAAATGTTAGACGATGGACCGAAATGTATCATTATACCTCTATGCTACAATAAGAGCGTCAACCCTCCCATCCACCCACCATCCACCCATCCATCCATCTCACGCCCTTCAAAACCCCCTCAACTCCTTCAAAAGCACCTTCTCCCTCTGCCCCACCACCCTCTCGAAGCGATCAGCACCCATGACGAACGTGCCCCTGCCGCCCGTCAAACTTCTCAAATGCTTCAGATAGCCCACCATCTCCTTCAACGGCACCCGCGCCGTGATGTTCCGCTGCCTGCGGCCGTCGACCGCGATGCCTTGCCCCCGGGTCTGGGAAGCGGACGGGCCGAAGGGGTCCGGGGGCGCGTAGACTCTGGCGACGTCGATCCGAGGCAGGGGGTCGGGGGTGGAGTTGACGGCGGGGCCGGATGTGACGCCGGCGTCGTCGAGGGACATGATGTGCCCGCCGCGGGAGGAGGAGATGTCGTTGACCACGGCGCCTAAGCTGGCTTCGTCGACGCTGACGGTGACGTTCATCACCGGCTCCATAAGGACCGATCCGTTCTCCAGAGCGGTTGCTTTGAGCGCTGCCTTTGTGGCAAGGCGTGCGGCGGAGGAGAGAGCAGCGGGGGTGGTGTCGGTGCCGAAGATGTGTTTTCTGGGGTCGAGGGTTAGCAGAACGTGGGTATTGTGCAGCTGAAAGGCGTAATTGATGCCGCGGCTCAAGGCGGCGAGAGCGCCGTTTTTGAGGGCCGAGTGGAGGGAGGGGATGGAGAGGTGGGGTGGGAGGTCGCCGTCCCAGGGCTCGGCTTCTGAGGCGTCGTCTGTAGTTGGTTTAAGAGATATTGTGACTCTATTACCGTCTTCGTAGGCTGAGTATGCGTATTCGTCGTCCAGGGGGATTTGAGTGGTTTCGGAGAGAGGCTCGACGTGGGCTATGCAGGAGGCACGGCCCTGTTTTCCACCTTGCTCTTTGTCGAAGACGTAAATATCTGGCGAAGAAGCTTCAAGGATGGATTCTCGGTACGCGATCTCGATTTTACCCATAGCAGCTTTAGCTTTCATGTCGTTGACAAGGCGGTCTCGGGCAATCTCGAGGTGGAAATCGCCCATGCCGCTTAACAACGTTTGGCCCGATTCTTCGTCCTCGGAGACTTGCAGACTTGGGTCTTCCCGGATTAGTATGTCTAAAGCACTCTTGACAGTCTTCTCCTCGCTCATGCTGTGCGGCTCGACGCTTGAGAAGAACACTGCAGGAGGGACCTCGATGGGTCGGAGCTGCAGCGTGTTTAGAGGAGAGGGCGGCCCTGATTTAGGATTCGCGCCAGTGTACGAGATCAGTGTGTCACCTGTCCTCGCATACTTCAAGCCAGGAATGACCCCAATCTGGCCTGCTGGAATGGTATCGATCTGGACTGAGTCGGAAGCATACATCTTGAGCAGCTGTGGCGCTCGTTCGGAGACTTGGAGATTTGTATTGAATAGCATAGACTGGCGTTTTATACTACCTGAGTAGACCCGGACGTAGACCAGTGTGCCACGGCGAGAATCATGGACGACTTTGAAGGCTAGAGCGCATGATTCCAGGTTCTGGATTAGGGCTGTGCTTTGTTTTTTGAACTTGGCAGTTGAAGCTTTTGACTTTGGCCCAATTCCAGCGGACACCAGTTTTCCACTTAGCAAGCTTGAGAGGGTTCCTTCCACGCCGCCGAGGTTGATCTCGGGATCTAGAGCCTCAATGGGGCTTGGTAGTAGTTGGATAACAGCATCGAGCAGAGGCTGAACGCCCATGTTCTGGAAGCTTGCGCCAGCAAATACGGGGACGATATTGGATGACTGATTCAGAACGCATCGCCTCAAGGATATCATGATGTCTTCGCTTGCAATGGCGAGATGATCTTCATCGACCTCCAGGTATTTCTCAACCATACGTTCGTCATGCTCACTCAAAAGCTCAACAAGCGCTCTCCTAGCCTTCTTGATTTCTAGAGCGAACTCTGCTTCAGATGACGGAAGATCGTCAATAGAGATGACTTGAAAGTCCTTGCCATCCCCTCCCTCAGTCCATTTGAAAGACCGAAGTCCAATCGCATCTCCTAGTCCAACAAATTTGCCCCTTCCCCCTTCCCACCAAGGCACCTGGCAGACTGCCGGCCACGCGTGAAGACGCGCAGCAATCTGCTTAACGGTCTCACCAAAAGCCGCACCATCCCGATCAAGTTTATTCACATAGATGATCTTCGGAATGCGGTACTTCGCGGCCTGGTACCACACCTTTTCTGTCTGTGCCTCGACGCCTGCTACGCCATCGAGAATACAGACCGCGCCATCTAGAATGCGCAATGATCTAAGGACTTCGAAGGTGAAGTCTGCGTGGCCGGGCGTGTCTATTAGATTGATGTTGTGAGGCACGAGGTTGCTTGTATTTGCGGAAGTGTTTTGAAGGTCGCCGACGGACAGAGGCGGCCAGTGGAATGAGATGGCGGCGGACTGTATTGTTACGCCTCGCGCTCTCTCTGCGGGCAAGAAGTCGGTGACAGTGGAGCCTTCGTCTACATCTATAATATCCATAAGAACATGAAGACGGGAAAACTCAAGCCTCTGGTTTGCGAACGAGGTTTTTGCGAATGAGCTGCCTTCTGAAAAGAAATACGGATGTGCAATGGATACTGGAGATTGAGATAGAAAAGAAAGAAAACACCATACTTCCTATTCGTCTTGTATGCCCACTATAGTAGAGCATGCGCTCCGTGGTCGTCGTCTTGCCCTTGTATTTCGTAAGCATTGCGGCCAGAAGCTATATTCGGTTCATGACATACCGCATCGATATGGGCAATGATGCCAATATTCCTCGTTCTGGATACCTCTGTTGAGACATCTTGAGCTTTTCTCTGTAATGCAACACTGAAAGCACGTCTCGCGCTGTGAATGAATAGGTATCGACTACTTGGCTTATACAACCGGCGGCTCGAAGCCCGCCCAAGTTGCATTTACTCGGGCTATTTATTGACAAAAGGTCCTTCAAAATCGATGACCAAATTTAGATTCCTTGACCGAGGGACACAATGACCCAGCGGGAGCGGGTTGCTAGCACATACGCTAACATGCAGGGGCTACCTTAAGGTACACACACTCTAAGGTACTAGTACATTACCTTACCTTACTGGCGGTGGTGTGGTCGCGAATCGTAGCCCGACTCTTGTACTTTAAACCTCGTAGAATACCTTTTCTTCCTCTTCTCCCACTTCTGCCTTTCCTTCCTCATCAACCCAGAAGTTGACGAATGCTCCAGACATGATAACATACATCGGTATCCCGCTCGCCGTACTGGGTGTTCTACCAATCCTCCACACGACCATAAATTCCCTGGTCACCATCCATAAGGTCAAACAATCCCTCAGACACAATGGACTCTTCGAAGCCACCACTCGCAGCGGTCTCATGTCCGGCATTATGGAAGTCACCCTGCCAATACTCAGCATCACGCCCCTAGACCGCGAAGAGGATGCCGAATACTGGAAACTGAATCGTAGACCTTCCACGCTAAAGGGTGCAACATGGACCATCTTCAACTAGAATTTCCTAATTACGGGGTCCAGACTCTATAAATGCAGTATAGTGATGAGCTACAAATTCCGCATAGCAGGAATCGATTTCGAAGGATTGATGGCACTTCTGCTCGATAGAGGCGCTGTGCCGGACATTAAAGGTCTGCATATGTTGAGGGTTTCTGGATTGTGGACGCCGACTGGGACGAGTCTGTTGTTGAGTCCGGATACGCTGGATAATGTTTCGAAGGTATCAGTGTCCAACTATTCAGACGGAGTGCTGAGCTTGACGTTGCATTGGAATTCAGCTTGGGATCAAAGGGACCCTAGCCACCTTTCGCCGGGCTGGAGGCGACTCCACTTATCTGTAGATCCCAACGAGACACATCATGATGCCTTGGAGAAGCAGCCTCCCCGTCCCAGGCCCACATCAACTCGTTTTCGTCTTGGTCATGTCGACTCCTCGGTCTCAATCGCCCATGCGGTTTGGGAGCACAAGAACAACCCTCTAGCATCATCTCCTTCGCTAGACCACGTCCGCTCCGGTCCAGCTTCGAATTGGACCCCATCTTTGGTTCTTGCGCTTGGGCTCTCCAGGTCACTCCCCCTATACCATCATCATCTCGACCATCAACTCACCGGCTTGGCCACCCGTGACACCAATCCATGCGGCATTCTTGTCATCCTCGGACTCGTGGATGAAAGCGAAGCCCCGCCTTGGGAAACGAAGTATGATCCGAATGGGCGTATTCTCATAAACCATCTAAGTTTTGCTGCTAAGTCAAGAGCAGTCCAAGATGAAATGACGATGAGGCCAGAGCAGGCAGACACTGCAAGAAGGAAAAGGCAAGCAGAAGGAATCCGTCAATTTGGCAGGAGGAGCACGCGATGAGTGTTTGCACTGTTTCGAAACGATCACGGGAATGGAGTGATCAAGGCGGGATGACCATTAATGACTTGAAATTTCTCGAGAGTAACGAAGTACCCTTCTGCAACGCGGCGTGCGTTATGGGTCTCTTTTGAGAAGTGTGTACGAAAGAGGAGAGCACGGTTGCCCTAGACAACCGAGAATCTGTACAGCATTGGAAGAGAGTCCGGCTGGGATGACCGTGTATGTAGTGCCACTCAATAGTCCTTGTTAGCTAGCGTTCAGATACTTTTGGTTTGACCTCTGTCTTCTCATGTCTTTGTCCGCTCTGCGAGCATGGTTCAAGCTGTTGCCCAGACCTTCAGAGTCTCTACGTTCTTTTTCGAGATTGCTTTCTGTGACATGGTCCAGCATGAACCTTCCAAGCAGGCCCTTTCTCCATCTTTGAATCATCCATAGTGCTGAAGCATCAACATCCGGCGTGCCTCCTTTTTTGTAGCCTTCCAGTCTTTTGTGCCACAGCGCTCAAAAAGTCTATGATATCATTTGTAGGCGACGAATAGTCTGCATAGATCTGTGGATCATAGATGTTCATCTGATAGAGTAGGTAGTCTGCTAAAGTCGTCGGAGGAATGATGGTGTCCTTGACGCTTCCACACAGGGCAAGTTTGAGCATGGACTTCTGCATTCGGCACGTACGGGACAAAGACACCGGGCGTATCCATCAAGTAGACGCCCTCATTGTTCTCATCGCCCTCGATAATCTTTACCGTCGTTCCAATCTTTCGAGTCACTCCAGGTTGAGCGCCAGTGTGTGCCGCCTTCCCCTTGTGGACACCGACCTGCCGTAGAGCATTCAGAAGAGATGACTTGCCCACATTGGGCATTCCGACAACCATCATCCTGGAGCCCATCAGGGAATCTTTGGCTGCAGCGTGGTCGCGAGCGAAGTTGAGAACTTTTCGGATAGAGCTTTTATCCTTGTGGTCAGAGAAAAGTACTGAGCTGGGCTGTTGCCATTCTTGAATCAGCCGTTCTCTCTGTACGAGGTCAGTCTCCACCCTCAGCATGATGATGCGAAGGTCTTGCAACATACATACACTTTTGTCCTGCTGCCTGCCTTCACTGCCCAGATCCTTCTTTGTGTAGACAATCAATCTTTCCCTTCCAGCTAGATTTTCCTCGAAGAGCGGGTTGCGAGATGTGAGCGGTACTCGATAGTCTCGGCATTCAATGACCAGGTCTATGTACGTGAGCATCGTCTTCATCTTATTTAGACCTGCGCGGTGATGGCCTAGAAAGTAAGAGCGAGGGAGGGAGTCGAGGGTGGGGAAGACCCTTCGCGGCACGAAGGAGGCCATTGAGGGCGTCGTGACAGCAAGCCATCATGTGTGATAGTCTTCTTGCATAATAGCCTGCATGGTATGTTGAGGTCGAAGCAGCAGGAAGCTTTTGTGAGATTGGAGAGTAACCTTTGGCTTTGACTGAAATCATCCTAAACCTGCCAAGCTCGTAAGCCCCCTCGGGTTAGCGTCTTTCTAGAATGCATAAATGACAGGGTGACAGCGAGAATTGCCAAGCATTGTAATCACATTTGGAAGTCAGATCCTCTTCTAGTGGTTCACACCATGTACTAATAAGTACAGAACGTCTCCCACAAATCCAACCTTTTGAGCTCAGGATGAGTCGTCCGTCCGTCCAGAACTGTAAGTTTTGAGCACAGCAATGATCACTATGACTAGACTTGTCAGTTCTCGTCCATTCGGTCTATCCCGCGGGTCTGGCTGGTCTGGGTGTTGCTGGCAACAGATATCTTCTCGGAAGCCAGTCGGAAAAGGTGGAGGTCGAGCTGAGATCACGGATGGATGTCGTCAAAAACGATCTGGGGATCGTGAAGGAGGACGTCACAGGCCTTGTGGACATGGAGCGTCGCAAAGCTGATGCTGTGGAGAGGATGCTGGATTGCGGAAAGAAGAAGAAGAAGTGAGAGGTCATGGCAGGATGGATGTTGCTATTGGCTTGCTTTGCATTGCTTAAAAGCGTATACCAAAGAAGGAGTGGGAGTTTCTGGCAGGATGATTGTTGCTATTGGCCTGCTTTGCATTGCTCAAAAGCGTATACCCTATGATTATTGCTACGGCAGAAAACGCTAGACAACAGTCTCAACTTAAGAAGTACCAACGAGCTTGATACACGAGCCAGAGGAGCCTGCGATCAAGCCTCCTCTTTCAACTGCTAGTGTAACAACGGGGGGCCCAGAAACATTCACCATCTGCCCAAATCAGGTCGCCACGAGACATCTCACGCAGGCGACCCCTGGAGCTGTGCTCCCCACCACTGTAGGATACACCCTAGTTATCTTTGGTCCTGGCTCGCCATATTGGGGACCGCCGTTCCTACAGGGTGACAACGATCTATTCGTCCAGACCACTGGCGCTGCCCCAAGCACTTTTTCAGCCGTAACAACGACACTAATACTCTCTGAACCGGTGACAGCTGGGACTGCTCCTTTGCCCACTGTTACCGCGAATCTCACAGCAGTAAGTCCATGTCTACTCCAGCTGATGGCCATTGGAGCAAATACGCCACGAGCCGCGTAACGAATAAAAGAACAAGCGCTGATTCTAGAGTGCAGGCCATTTGCCGGACCGTACCAGGCCTAGCTGTACCTTGTGTCACCCCGCCTCCAACCGTATCCTGCGGGCCCGCTGGCACATGCAGCCCGGGCATAAAATCCGACCAAACTAGCTGCGAAGCCGAATGCTATGGTGGACTTTGCGCCCCGGCCCAGGAGGGCGTAACAGTTGGCAGTTACCTATGCTCATGTCCCGACTCCTCTCCGGCCTGGACATGCATCACAAAGATCTAGCCTGCGACCGTAGTTTCGACTTGCAGCAAATCCAATGACATTTGGCTTTCGCACCGAGTAGAACATCTTGATCCCTAGCTTTCCTTAAAACAAAGCCTCTCCAGTCCTTGCTCATAATCATGCGAGGTAAGACATTATGCAAGTTGATACATTCCATACACGCAAGGGCTTGGCATTGCCCCTTCGTCACTTTCATGCGCATACTGCACGGACAGGTCATTTCGAGGTCTCCTTCGATGAAGGCCTTTGGCTCATATAAGATCTTTTGGCATCCATTCCTTCTGTCTTTTTCAACCACCATCACTCAGCTTTCCTTGGGATCACATTTCATTGTTAGCCTGCCTCACTGATCTCTTCGGCATGCACCTGCCTCGCGTGACCACCCTCGTCATCTATCTCATTGCTCTTGCCTCAGCCTCGCCCATTGCCTGGCCCGATGACAAGCTCGAAGAGGTCAACGCTCTGCGGGTGAGAGGTGTCTCAGAGGTGAGCAGACTCTCGCACGCGCTCAACTTTTCACCATGCCTTTATTCCTTCTGCAAGCTATCTTCGCCCCGCCAAGCGGACTCGATCGCCTTTCATTTCATCGATCTGGTTCCCATTCTAACACACCGTAGGCCGAGATAGCAGTCCGCATCCCACGACCGCTTACATCTCCCTCGCCTGCTCCGCTCTCGGAACCAGTCTCGTTTTTCGGACGCTCCACCAAGAGGAATGCAGATGTGTCGTTAGGTGCTGGCGGTGAAACGGCAAAGAGTCACCAAAGGAAGACACACTTCAGGGAGACTGTTGGCAGAAGGGGGGAGGAAATTGGAAGACGGCTATAGCGTGACCGGGAGCGTGAAAATCTGACAGAAAGGGGAGCTTGTGCACAATAGTCATTGCCCTAAGAAGTGCTTCAGATGCTACAGGGCCTGGGGCAAATTTAGAGAAACTCGCAGTGGGCGTTGTCTATCACTGAAGCAAGGTTCAGTAAATCAATTGCCACTGCACCGCTGCTTCCTTACTCACCTAGACACTAAGTTTGATTCCCCTCCCTGTCACTCTTCACTGAAAATATTACCCTGCCAATAAGACCTTCCATGTAGTCGGATGATGTAGAGATCCACAATGGCCCTCTGGGATCTCGGGCCGGGCTGAGCGGTTCAAGCGCTAAGCCTAGTTGAGGTTTCGAGCCCTGCCAATGTTGAACCCCGAACACCTTTTATTGAAAAAAAAAAAAAGAAGTAAAAATACACCCCCTTTTTATTGGAAAGCTTGCTTTCTCAATAGAGAGGTTTCGCAACTTAAATTACAATTTTAGTTGCGCAGGATTACGAGGGTCAGGGTCAAAACCTTGGCCTTTTTGGTTTTTTGGTTTTTTTAAAAAAATTTTTTTTTTTTTTACCCGAATTTGGGGAAGGGGTTTTTTTAAAATTTTTTTAAGGGGAAACCAGGGGGAAGAAAGGCGTTTGATTATACATTTGAGGCGTATACTAATAGTGTTGGTTTTTCTAGCGACTACGGTCTATACTTCTTATGAACGCATTAAACGCACTAAATGCTTATAAGATAATTCTACGAACTATAGAATACCTCGATAAGTATACTTTATAACTAGTCTATTACTTACTTTATAACTAAGACTAGATCTATTTTAGATAATATTATATCGAATAAGAAAGAAGAAAGTATTTTAAAAGAGTTACGAAATCTCTCTAATACTTAAGACTTAAAAATAAGAATAAATGCTACGCTAAGAGGCTAGTAATTAATTAGATTATCGAATTTTATTATTTCTACTCGTATTATTTAGAAGTAAGCTATCTCGCTTAATAACGTTAAGAGAGTTAATTAATTAAACTACTTAGCTTATCGCGGAAATCGTAGTTTAATTAATTAACTCTTTCGGCGCTATTAAGCGAGATAGCTTACTTCTAAATAATATAAATAGTTTAAAATATATCTTAATTCTTTATTTTCGATCTAAATACGGGTATACGCGAGTACGTTTAAAAGAGGAAATTGGAAAAGAACTTCAAAATCCTCAAATCTATCTTTTTAAATTTCTTTTCTTTTATTAAAAATATGATAATAAAGTAAGTTTATAAAGTTATAGAGTTAATTATACGCTTTTAAATAGTATAATATAGACGAAATTTAATAAGATATTCGTAAAGATATACTAAAATCTAAGATTTTTATTTAAATTATTACTAGAAGCAATAATCTAATTAATGTAAAATAACTTAATTATATTAATAAAGAAACTACTTTCTAAGTAAGTAATTCCTTATCAAGCCTTACTTGACGAAAGCCCTTACTAGAAGAAAGGCCTTTCTTAATAATTTCTAATAAGATACCGGCAATTAAAAATAAAAGCAACGTTCTTATTAATAAGCAAGATAGCAAGTAAGAAATCGGGAAATCGGATTTCTTAAGAAAACCCCTACGCTTAAGTATTCGCAATCCGCCTACTTCTATATAATACTATTTCTCTCGAAACCGACGTTAACTCTAGCTTTCTCATCGAAACTTCCACTCTTACCAACGTCTATTTCGTTTCTAAACGAGATCCCGAAGCTTCTTTCAATAATAGGCGAGAACTTAAAGAAATAACTTTCCCGTCGCGAAGATCCGACGTTCCTAAACGAGATCCCGAAGTTTCTTTCAGAAGTCGAGTTATCGTTTACGACGTAAAATATAATACTTTCTCGATACTTCTAGAAGGTCCTAAAGCTTCTTCTAGGAGTCGAGTCGTCGTTTCTTACGACGTGGGATGCGATACTTCCTCGATACTTCTGGGAGGTGCTTCCTCGATCCTACGGACGCTGGCATACTTATTCTTATAGTCCCGGACCAATTCCTAAACATGCCGAGGTTCTTCACATTTATCCACTTATTATACTGCGGTTTATATTCTTTTTATTTAATAAGATATTCCGTAGTAAAATCTCTTTCTTTAGCGATAACGCGCTTATTTAGAAGTCGATCGAGTTCTTAAGATCTAAAAGTCTTAATATTATCTTCGACGAAGATAGAAGATAACTTATTAGAGCGAGGCTAAGGCTAAATATATAAATTAACTTAAAGATTCGAATATAATTTTAATTATATTATAGTAAAAATTAAATATACTTTTTAGTTATTAAGAATATCTAATCGATAGATAAGACGTCTAACTCGTTCGAGAACTTTAAAGAAATTAACGAATTATAAATTATATTTTCTTTCGATAAGCTAAATAGCTAAAATATTATAGTTATAATATAATTATAAAAGTATATAATTATCTATATAAAAGAATTAAGGCTAATATTATTAATTATAATAAAATTTTAAATTTATCTAAATAAAGATAATAGTATTTAATATTTTTAAATAAGCGATATTCTTTAATATTAGTTACTTCTTATAGACGTCGAGATCTAATAACTAATTTAATAAGAAACTATAGAAAATTTTATTTAAAGATTTATTTAATAAAGTAGAAATAGCGTTATTATAGCTTGCTTAGATAGCTAAAATAATAATTAGCTAGATTATAACGTCGTTAAGTATAGATATCTAAAAGCGAATAGCAATCTTAATAATCTAATTAATACGCTTATTAAATCTATCGATTTACGAATAATAGATAATTAGTATATATAAAAGAATAAGATAGAGCTAAACTAGAAAATCTTGAATTTATATATACAGTCAATTATTAATTCGAGGTTATTACGTCTTTTAACTAGACTAACTAAGTTAGCTCGCTAGCCCTCTCGAGCTTTCTTATTAAAAATTTATATATAGAAGTTTTACACTTTAAAGTACTTAGCTTACGATATATATAGTTACTTCATAATTCCTTAAATTATAAAGCTCGCTTTACGCTTTCTAACGCTATAAAAATTATAAAGTTTAATCTACTATTAGTAAATTAAATAAATATTCAAATATAATAATCATTAATAGTTATATTAGACGCGTCCGAGATCGAATAATAATTCTTCTATCTATTTATTATTCTTTTATTATTCTACTAATTCTATTAATTCTACTAATTCCACTAATATAAATATAATCGTCTTCGATACCCCTCGTCCTAATTAAAGCCTCTTACTAACGCTTCTAGACTATCTCTTAGTAAATTC